CCAGCCTGCAAGCATCTACAGGAAAGTCTCCCTTTTATCGGGTGTATGGGAAGGACCCGCGACTACCAGTCCCTGCCACACTGACAGTGACCAAGTCGCGAACTGTGACTTACTTGAGAGAGTATGGGATAGCGCTGCACCAGAAGATGTTTGAAGCATGGGAGTTAGCCCATCAATCCATTGGCCGGGCCCAGAAGCGACAAAAGCAGGTGTATGATCAAAGAGCCAAGCCTCCCTCCTACAGGGAACGGGAACGCGTGTTCCTCTTCCGTCCGTCTGTGAAAACTGGTGCAAATCGTAAACTGGCCAGACCGTACAGAGTGGTTGAACTGGGGTAGAATATAGCAAAGATAACCAGAGTGGATCGCCCAAGCGAGGAGCCAATACTGGTGGCACTCGACCGTCTCCGTCCATGTCCCAAGGAGGTGGGTGATGACTTTGGCTGCCCGGTAGGAGTGGAACTGAGAGAAAGACAACCTCTACTCAACACTCAAACCCAGGTGAATCAGGTGCTGTTGACAAGGGATCAGAGACGACAAGACAACCTGGTACCGGTGGTGAGGGTAATTGCACAGCTAGCAAGGGCTCGTCAGAACAGAAGAAACAGATGACACGAAGAAGTAAGCAGCCACCTCGTGGTGATGGAGGCCTGAGAAGGGACCTGGAATCGCTGGTTGGCCAACTACAGCATACATGCAAGGTGGTGCGCCCTGGAAGATGCTTCCTACGCCCCATCTATGACCTGCTAATGCGGACGAGCCACTTCCAAAAGCATTTCCATGTGCGGCTAAACGCTCAGTGTCAAGCAGACCTGGTGTTCAGTCATTGTTGGAAAGGCGTTTCCATTTTCCGCCAGTGCCAGACTCTGCAAGCGGATGTTCACCTTCACTCCGATGCGTCTGGGTCTTAGGGGTACGGAGCCTATTGGAATAGCATGTGGTTTCAAGTGGTGTGGCAAGGGTCTTCCCATAGCGTCTGCGACCATCGCTCCAAAGGAGTTGTTTCCCATTTCGGTGGCGTGCGCGGTGTGGGGCCGCCTCTGGAGAGGGTGTACCGTTTGTGCTCACTGGTGGAGGTAATCAACAGAGGGAGGGCGAAGGAGCTGTTGATGTGCCACCAGCTTCGCTCTCTCTTCTTCATTAGTGCGTTCCACGACTTTGAAGTCACCGTGAGGCACACACCGGGTCGGGCCAATGGTGCGGCGGACGCGCTGTCCCGTGATGACCTTGACTCCTTCCGTACACAGGTTCCGTACACAGGTTCCGGCGGCGCTCCCCTACGCAACGGCAGTCCCGGTGTCTCTCAAGTTGGGCCTCGGCAGAGCGCGTCCATTTTGGAGAACGCAAGATTGGACAGATTAGTTTTACAAGTCTTCGAGTCGGCCGTATCCCCAGCAACGTTGAGAACCTACCGCTCGGCTCAATCTCGGTACCTACACTTCTGCTCAACTATGAACATTGACCCATCAATATCGTGTATGTAAGTTTGTAGCTACGTTGGCAGCGGAACAAGTGTCACATTCTTCAATTAAGGGCTACCTCTATCTATCGCTTGAGCTATGACCCAAATATCTGCCATATGGCTGGACTGTATTTCGTTTTACAAGGCATAAAGAGGTCGTAAGCAATTTCGAGTCGGGGCAGCTCACCACGGACCAACTTGCCCATAACCGCGAGCATAATGGGATCGCTAAAGCATTGCTGGGAAGCGGGCGGTGCGTCGTTCGACAAGGCGATGCTGTGGGCAACAGCGTGTGCCTTCTTCTTCGGCTTCCTGCAGTCTGGGGAAACAACTGTCCCATCCTCTTCAGCGTACGATCCGGCAGTGCATCTCCCGATCGCAGACGTATCCATCGACTCCGGCACCACGCCGACGAAGGTGCTGCTGAAAATTAAGGCCTCGAAGAATGATCCCTTTCGCAAAAGGGTTACGGTGTGCCTCGGGAGGACCAACCGGGGATATCTGTCTGGTAGCGGCCATCATCAGCTATATCGCGCAGCTTCCCGCTGTTTCGTTTTGAAGACGGGATGCCACTGACACGTCCCAGGCTGGTGTGGGAGCTCCAGGCGGCGTTGGGGTCGGAGGGCATCGACGTGTCTAGGACGCATGCCACAGTTTCAGATTTGGCGCAGCAACGACAGCGGCGGCCGTCGGCGTAGAAAACTCGCTAATAAAGATTGTGGGACGATGGCAGAGCGCAACGTACTCCCAGTACCTTCGGATCCCACCCGACGACCTTGCTGACATCTCTGCCCGACTGGTTTCCCACTAGGCCCGGTGCCACCTAGTATCAGTATATACATACCAGCAATAGCAGATATACCTGCTAGGTTACTCATGTTGCATAATGTTGGTGCGTCCAATTTGTTCTACATGCTATTCTATTCGTGCTTGGAGGGAGGTGCGGAGTCCACACCTCCTATGGAAGATGTATTTCGTGGCACAAACATACTATCCTCCAAGCACGTACCGGAATAGTAGTCGATTCCGCTAAGGGACGCATGTGCACTGCGCACGGTTGCTTGTGGACGTGATGCGCATACGCATATCGCAGCCATGCCCGTCGCAAGAATGCGTATGCACATAGCGTGGCCAAGCTGTACACGATAGTGCGCATGCGCGGAACAGCTGTTGCGGCCCCTAGCCGCGCCCTGTCTGAGTTCTAGGCTAGGCTACCGCCAGCCCGACAGGGAGCGTGGCCTCTCACGCCCTGAGACTCACCTTCCAAGAACGCAACGCAAGCTTCTAGAGACAATTCCCAGATAATTACGAATAGCTGATCCAAGTATGTTCCTTCCTTCCAGTAGTAGACTGACGATCAGTATCAGTTGTTCCGCGAGTGTCATCAGTAGTCGAAGCGGTTCCATTCTTAGCCTCTGCAGAAGTGTCCTGCACGTAGTCGTATTATCAGTGGACTCAGAAGTAGTGGTGAGTCTTCTAGCAGTGCGTCCACCGGAACCAGCTCATTATCAACTGCATCTCCTTCATCTTCCTCAGTAAAGGAGGCATCAGGGGTTTCTTCTAGAGGTGCTTCGCGGGCAGTGTCTCCTTCCGGTTCATTTTCCACAAGAGCATCGTTACCATCGAGAGGTAGCGTGGGATCTGGATCCATGTTAGAGACGGGATGTCGGTTGGTTCGCAACCAGTCCACCCAACGAAGGGGGCAACCAGGACCTTAGCGTTTAGTACCATACCAGTAAAACCTGGCAGGAAAGTCATGGGGACATGGCTTAACCCTGAGCTGGTGGACTTGAATTGGGTTTTCTCTGGGGAAGTAGATCTTGACGGCAGTGATGTTGGTTTCGTTGCAGGACGTTATCCAATACGGTCCATGCCACGGTCGAGAAAGCTTCCGTAAATGGCCGGTCTCCTCACTTGGGAAACCTATTGGTCAACCTGGTACGTGTAGCTATCTGACTTGCGGTCGTAGGTACTCTGGTATTGTCATTTAGCCTTCCGAATAGTGTCCAGCGCTGTCTTTCTGCCAGACGATAGGGTGAGAATCAACTCTTCTCTGTAGTCTTCAATGGTGGTTGGTTGCGCATCCTTTGCAGTTCAGAGGGAGACTTACAGTCCCATCCGAATAAGAGGAATGGTGGTTCTCTCCAGTCATATCGTGGGGCGCATTTCTGTATGCCCACAGCAATGCAGGTAAGTGTGTGTCCCGCTGGTTTTTGAACTGGGCTGCTCTCTTCCTCAGCTTAGATTTCAGGGTGTGGTTGAAACGTTCAACCATGCCATCACACTCTGGATGGTATGCTGTGGTGTTGAGTTTTTCTATGTCCAGGAGGCGGCACACGTCGAGCATTAGGATGGCACCATGGTCAGACAACAGTGCCTCAGGTACGCTAAACATGGGGACAACTTCATCGCAAAGCAGTCGAGCAAGATGCAGTACGAGAAACTCATACAGCCCATGAGGTGTAACAAACGCTGTCTTCTCTCTGAAGTCAGCTTCCATCCTGATCTGCCAAAAACCAGAGGCCAAGTCGAGGGTTGTGAAATAGCGTGCACCTCCCACCTGATCCAGTAAGTCGTCAATGCGAGGGAGGGGAAATGTATCGGCTTTGGTGATAGAATTGAGTGCCCTGTAGAAACGGTGGCTACCATCTTTCTTCCTTACTATCACCACAGGACTTGACCACGGCGAGTTAGAGGACACTTCAGCTGTCTGGTGACTTCTTCTCGAACCATGAATGGCATTCGTCTTGCAGGTTGCTTGGTGTGTAAAAGCAAGTAAACACGTGCATATGTGAAATTACGTGCTAATGTTCTGAAACGACATGGAACAGAGGCAAAACAATGCTTATAAAAGTGTGAAAACGCAGAATAACGTGTGCAAAAGCGAATAAGCACGTTGATGAGTGAAAATACATGCTAATGCTAAAAAAACACGTGGAACAGAGCAGAGAAATGCCAAAATAACGGTACAAAACTGTGTCAATATGAACATAGAAGCAGTGCATGATTTGTGCAAAAGCCAATAAGTAGCTAATGCTCAATGGAAGTGAGCGGATAAAACGCAAAATTGCTTATACAATTCCAATTGGCGCCAAACAACATTTCCAATTAACGCCCACCCACAATTCCAATTCGTGCCCACCTAATAAAGTGCCTGTCAGTTAAAATGCTGTGGAATAGAGCAGATAAAAGCAAACGTGTCCAAATGCAGAAGAATGAGGTTCCACGTAGGTTAACAAGGACGTTGAGCGAACGCATCGGATAGTCTGGGGTTGGGCCGCCCCAAGACGAGGCACGCCCTTCTCTGGTGGATGCGCTTGAGCGAGATCAACTTGTGCAGGGGGCCAGCCTCACCGGAGCGGCGGTTGCTAGAGGCCAGAGGCCTGCGCCATGGCGGCCAAAAAAAGCTTGCAAAGTTCAAATCTAGTCAGCAAGCGCAGCTATTGCATCGCCTGGTCGCGGTTCTACGCAGGAGCAGTTGTATTGTTTCCTCCCTCCCTTACCCTCCATTGTGCTCTCTCCCGCCGGCGTGATATGTCGGGAGTAGTTTGAGCATTTATGGCAAAGACCACAAGTTTACGGACCTCCAAGCACAATAGGGTACAAATAACAGTAAGCAGCCTAGTCATGGGGGGTGGCCTATGACGTGACGAGGAGGCCTGGCACCTTTTGTAGGCGCCCATGCGCCAAAAAATATGTACTTGCATGGGCGCGTACTCGACTCCAGACTATCTCCATCTACACATTGTGAGGCAGGCAAAGCTTCGTGTGAGACTCCCCTAGTTCAATGTGTAAACGTATAAGTGTATAAACTATGAGCTGGATAAACATAGAACGGTTAATAATTGCGTGGAAAAGCGAATAAAACGTCGATAAACGTGCAATAGAGCAGATAAACTCAAAATAACCGTGCCAATGCAATTGTAATTGGAGCCAACCCCAATTTACAAGTAACGCCCGCCCACAATTGCAATTGGTTCCCCCGGAAGAACATGTCAATTTGGAATATGAACCTAGAAGCAGTGTAAATTAGCTTAAAAACTGTGTGCAAAATAAAATAAGAACGTCGGTATATGAACCAATCACGTGGAATACAGAAGATAAACAGACAATAACCGTGTGAAAACGCAGAAGAACGTGTGAACATGAAATATGAACGCAGAATCAGTCTCGATAAACGTAAAAGCTATATGAGAAAAACGAGCAAATGCTCAGAAGTTACATGGAATAGAGCCGTGAAACGCAAAAATACTCTGAAACGCTCCTCGGATTCCTTCCACGGCTGCATGGGTAGAAAGCTCCTACAGTTCCCAACCAGTTCTGTATTTTGGAGACCACAAGCTCTTCAGCTGTTGCGGAGTTCAACAAGGAGATCCTTTGTTTTCCTCTCACCCTCCACCCGATTGTTGAGGGAAGTTCCGGAGCTGCTTATTAACGCATGGTACCTTGATGATGGCACCCTGTGTGGTTCCCTCAGAGGCATTGGTTCTGCTCTCGCCATAATTGAGTCGGTAGGACCATCACGAGGCCTCGTCCTCAACAAGATCAAATCTCTTCTCTGAAGTCCCAATTTGCAGTGATGGTTTTGAGCTCCTGGGCTCTCCGATTGGCCCATCCTGAAGAGAGTCAATAAGATCCAAGAGGCTCTGATCAACCTACGAGACCTCCATGACTCGCAGATGGAAGCCATTCTCTTGCGTTCCTGTCTCTCCTTGCCAAAAATTGCCGTCGCCGTACGTACATGTGCCCCCCACCTCATTTGACCCGCACTGGAAACTTCGCCGGGCAGCATTACATGCTCCAGCCGCCTACATTAGTTCGCTGAGCTTCTCATCTCTGATATTCTCGGCCATTCACCATCACCTCCTGCTTTGCTTCCCTCCTGCGTCAGGGCCATCGGTATGGCAGCCTCGATGCCCACATCTGCAGAACATTGATGTGCCTCCGTCTCATCGATGAAGCCTCTTTGATTTGCTCATCGATTCCTCCCCTGGTGTTCGTTCAAAGGCCTTGGCTCTCACATGCTGGGGATTGGCTTGTCACACCGTCGAGGGTCCCCCGCCAAAACCGGTCCCCCCGGAACGTCCGCTGCAGCCGTAATTGCTGCCACACACGGCCCCCCACCCGCACAAGTATATCAAGCGAACCCGTGTCTACTGTCTCCGTAACATCTTTGAGTGTCACTGAGCCGTGTCACAATGAGTTTGCCGCATTCACGTCGTCGCCCACGAGCGTTATACGCAATAGTTATATACCTGCAGTGAATAGTTTTATGATTTGTGTATGTGGAAAAATTGAATAAACCACTAAACTTTTCTCTGTCCTAAGCACACAAGCAGCATTACGGCGCAGAAAGAAGGGGGCGGGGCAGATCAACGACCAATTGCTGGTTATAGCAGCGAGCCAATGTTCTAGCTATAGCAGCTAGGGCTTATAGGCAACTTATGAAGAAAGTATAGACTAGGGGGACCATCGGAGGCAGGGGGGACCTCCCGCGGTGCCGTGGGGGATCGATTTTTCTGCCACGGAGGCTGTCACACGAAAATTGGTCCCCCCCAAAATCGATCCCCCCCGGAACTTCAATGTTGTACCTTTTCTGCTTGGCCTTCATCTCCTGTCTTCAATATTGGCTGGGGCGCCCTATTTTAGTTGAGGAGGTAAGGTGCCCTGTGTGCTGGAGCGTTGCTGACTCCTTCGGCGATTACCATGTAGGTTGTGGCGTACCCATCGTCACAACTCCATCCGGGATGCAATATTTTCAGCAGCACACTTTGGCAACCCGGAAGGAGTTGCCATCCCTCGTGCCCTAGCCCTGCTGACATTTTCCTCCCAAATTGGGAAAGAGGTCGTCCATCCGCGCGTCATTTCCACTCTGCAGAGGCACCTTCACGCTGCCTCATGCCGGGCTGTGGGAGTGTCGTTCGTCCCTCTCCTGGTCGAGTCTCTCGGTGGCTGGAGCGGTCACGCTGCCAAAACCCTCTTCAGTATCGGTCGGCTCCTAGGGCAACGGCTGGGCATACACCCGTCACCTCTTCCAACGGTGCCTTTGGAGCAACTCTCCCTGTATTATTTTCTTTTATCTAGTGTTATTTTTTGTTGTTTGGATCGTCTACTTTTTGGCTTTTGTAAAAATGATAAACGTAGAACGGTCAATGCTCATGTAGATAAGTGAAAATACACGTGAAATATCTTTGCACATGGCTATATAAACGTGTAAAGAACAAATGAAGCTCTAAATAGGTGGAATAATTCCAATTTGCGCCCACCCACATTTCCAACCACATTCCATCTACCATTCCAAATTACTGTTTGCAAAAGTGAATAAACGTAGATAAGTAAAAATGCGTGATAATGCTCTGAAAGTACGTGGAACCGAGCAGATAAACGCAAAATAGCGGTGCCTGTGAAGTGTGAAAACACAGAACGTGTGAATATGAAATGTGAACGTAGCAGTGTCTATATATGAGCTGGAGAAACATACAATGGTTCAAAAGTATATGCAAAAGCCTTAAAATGTGCAAACACGAGGAACAGAGTGGATAAACCCAAAAAACGGTGCCGATGCTTATTGGCGACAATCCATTTCCACCCAATAAACATGTGAAAACGTAGTAAGAGCCTGTTCAAATGGAATATGAACGTGTTATGAGCGTACAACAGTTTTAAAATGAGGGGAAAAGCCAATAAGCGCGTACGCGGATAAACGAAAAATGTGTGCAAAAGTATGAAAGAACGTGCTAATACTACGTGAGAAAAAAATAACGGCGGAAATTTGGAATATGAACGTGGCGAATAAAATACAGCAGATAAACGCTATGATCATTTAAAAACGGGGAAGAACTTGCTAATGTGACAAATATGAATGTAAACGAAGAATGTGTGTGCAGAAACGCAAAATAACGGTGCCATTGCTTATAAATTCCAATTGGCGCTAACCCACATTTCCAATTAACGCTCACCCGCAATTCCAATTGGTGCCCACCTAATAAACGTGAAAACGTAGAAGAGCCTGTCGCTATTGTTCCAACAGTTGCCCACCTTCCAATACAAATAAACTTGATAATACACAGATTTGGAAAGCAGTGAATCAACATAATAACGGTTAAAAAATGTGTAAAAAAACCGATAAAAACGTACAGTGCTTTGCATAATAATATTATAGAGGTAGGAACCAATTGGAAATGTGGGTGGGTATTAATTGGAGATATTTTTTGCTATATGTACAGTGCTTTGCATATAGAGACAGAATTTTGGAATTTTTAACATTTTCGTCCATTCCTCGGCCATACTATATGCTATGCACATGAGACGCATATCAAAATGATCAGCAATCCTTTCAGATCAAAGTCATCAAATTAATATTAGACCATGTGATCGTCATGTGACACAAATGGATGCCAAACAAAGGTCTTTCAGAAAATCGGTTAGGCTGATTATTTCCACAAGCCTGGGAGTTAAGACTTGAAACTTGTTATGCACAATCTTAGTCTACTGGTGCATCTTCTGGCTCAGAAATATTTTACCCCTCCAATACCGTTAGTGTGAAATCTGGCAAAACAGCCATTTTAGAGGTCCCCAGGGGTAAGGGTTATTATGCAGCCATGTTTACTAGTTAAGGGCCCAGATTTCTAATATGACATCCAAAATGAACGTACTATCGATGCAAAGTTATTCCGTTGCGCCGTCATCACGCGCGACGGAAAAATTAGCCCGTCTTGCCAGAAACCCTTGATAAATGGAACCACGTGCACTACAATGGCTGCCTACGCCCCTTTAGCGCCTTTCGTGATTGAGGTGAAAGGCGTGAAGTTCCACGTGGGTTGAGAGCGTGTTGCGATGAGCACGTGGTTCTGGGGCGGAGATCCCTCTCTTTCTGCCAAGGAAATTGCTGGAGTACTCACGTTTCCGCTTTCCATCACCGCACTTTGAAAACTAATGGCGCGTGCTCAAGGTTAAAGGTCGACGTGACGTCAAATCCAAATGTATTGAGTGATATGGCGCGCCGTTCAGAGATGGAAGACGAGCTAAGCGATTTTCTCAAAGACCTTTGTTAGTGTCACATGACGATCACATGGTTTAATATTAATTTGATCAGTTTGATCAGATGTGTTTCATGTGCATAATGGACCAAAATGTTATTACTGTACATATACGAAAAAATATCTCCAATTAACACCCACCCACATTTAAATAAGCTGAAAAGCTTTTGTTCCCCGTCCGCTAATGCTACTGACGCTGCTTCTGCAGCTACTGCTGCCAAGTCTCTCCAGATGCAAGCCATACTTGTACTAACTTTGGGAGCTCGCTTATAATAACGAATTTGAAAACGGGGAAGAACAAGCAAATGAGACAAATATGAACGTAAACATACAACGTGGCATAAGCGAAATAACATGTTGTAAAAAAACAGGTACCCATGCTTACAATTGTCTTTTCCAATTAACGCTAACCCGAAATTCCAATTAATAAAATTGTGAAAACGTGGAAGAGCATGTCAATATGGAATATGAACCTGGTAACTAAATAAGACTGGTTGTCAGGTAATATGGATAGTTAGTAACAGAGCTGTTGATGTAGTCCGTCGACCGGATCTCTCAACCAGTGAACTAAAAGTCGGAGGAAGTAGCTATGGTCTACAACTTTCGGGAAGAAAACACTGACGATTGACCTTCTAGGTTGATCCCAATTTCACTGTCTCTCAATTCACCCTCCGACTTAGCCGGTTAAACGTCATTTGACGCCCACGATCATTTCCAATTAACGCCCACCCACAATTCAAATCCGTGCCCACTTAAACGCACATAGAAGCTGTGAAGCACGTACATAAGTTACTAAATTCGTGAAACGAAACGGATAAACGATTATAAACCTGTCAAAATGCCGAAATAACATTAGAAATCGGAGAATAACGTTTCAATTTCGAATATGAACCTAGAATGAGATAACGATCTTAATTTGCACAAACGCACAAAATGTGCGAATCAAAACCAACATTTGCGTACGTACATTGATGCAAAACTTACACGGCCTTAGCCGATTAGCTTTCAAATTTACGCGCACTCGCGCGTACGCGCACGCAGAATAAAATGGCGGAAACGGCCACAAAAAACGGTCGAAAAAGCGGCCGAGTTTTTGCGGACAAAGGCAAACGTTTTTGGCAGTTTTCTGCTCGTATTTACCTGACTGTCCGATGATCTATCGCCATGTCCACGAGTAGCCAGCCAAGGTTGTGTGACACGACTTATTTCAGTAAGTTTGAATGTTTTTGCGAAGTTGAATCTCCAGTGTGGCACACACTCCTGCATCGCTCACACCTCCCTCTCTTGATGACCTGGGTCGCTCTGCTTGAGTGAGAAGTGTCGGAGTGGAAGAAGGAGTAGTGATTGTAGTATCCGCGTTTCTGGTCACCTATGTCGACTCAACTCATGTATTTATTGTAGAGGATGACGGATTCAGGGCAGCGGACATCAATACGGCCTTTCTTCTCTCTCCTCCGAGCAACCTGTTGACATTACCATCACCGGTGGCACATACATTGCCAGATTGCAGAGTCAGTGAGTCACCCCTGCATGTGTTTACATCAGTCACACTTAGGAATGTAAATTACTAGGAATGGAATCTAGAGCATGTGTTCATAGAAAGCTACTGAAAAGTTGGGGAAAGGTAAAGCACCAAGGTAAATGTTATATATGTGCCTATAGTGTGTTTGTGTTTACCTCCAGAAGTTGTCGAAAAAACCATGTGGTGTTTGCCCTTGAAGTCAGCCGTCAGCGGACATCACTCCGAGCAGCCTGTTGACATTACCATCACCGGTGGCACATACATTACCAGATTGCAGAGTCAGTGAGTCACCCCTGCATGTGTTTACATCAGTCACACTTAGGAATGTAAATTACTCATGCTCCAGGTATGCACAACTAGGTATGCCTATACTCATGTATAGGAATGGAATCTAGTGCATGTGTTCATAGAAAGCTACTCAAAAGTTGGGGAAAGGTAAAGCACAAAGGTAAATGTTATATATGTGCCTCCAGAAGTTGTCGAAAAAACCATGTGGTGTTTGCCCTTGAAGTCAGCCGTCAACGATTGACCCTAGCCCTGTCACCCAGCTTCCCTGTGTACACCTCAAGTCGTATGAAATAACCATTCACACTTTATCCCACGTTTGATACATGTACTGAAAACTTGATCATTCACTCAACTCTCTTCAGGTCTGCAAACCGTTTAGTGACGTGTGTCAGGACGATCATACCCTGGACTACCACGTGGGTCAAGGGTGGAGTTGTCAACGAATTGAGAGGTCTCGTCCAGTGCTCCTCGACGGCTGGAACGTGAGCAATCCCTCCGTCTCTAGGAAGAGGAGGCGGCAATTTCTGTGTATCCACACCATTTGTGTCATCATCCGTTCCCATGTTATCTCCCTCCATGCACACGCTCTCTCATGATTGTCTTCAGCTGAATTCATCATCACTGCCGGGCATGACGGGCTCTCTGATGGTGCCATGTTCCCCCCCGCTCCTCTTCATAATTCTCCCAGCTTGTTAGCCTAGCTCTTTTTGCCATTTCTGCGTTCAAATTTTATTATCATAAACGTTCTACCGAGTTACATACTATCCGCTTACCGTTTTGGTGTCAATTGCGTGGGAAGGCTAGAGTAAAACGTGGGAGTGGCACCGCAAATGCTCTGCTCAGGGAGGAGTGGCTCGTGGAGCTACACGCTCTACACAGCTGCCGCGATATCGCGTCTACCCCTTTTTCGCGCAATGCGCATAACTACCGCGGCTAATCGGTTTTAAGCCCACGATACCAATTGGCGCCAACCCACATTTCCAATTAATGCCCACCCATAATTCCAATTAATGCCCACCCACGATTCCAATTGGTGCTAACCCTTATTTCCGATTACAATGACCACCCGGATTTCCAATTAATGCCCAAGTATAAAAGGAAAAGCGAATAAGAACGTTGGTATACGATGATATGGTGCAAATCACCGCAAAAAAACGTTTAAATGGAAATGTTGTCTCTGTTCCGCGTTTTATTACTATTTATTGGCTTTGTTTATTCCAGTTTTATATTCACACATTCTTGAAGTCGTTCGTTTTACAGATTTACACGTTTTTCTTCGCTTACATTCGTTGATACGCATATTAAACATTATTTCGCGCTTCTCTCGTATTTTTCATTATCACTTCTCACCCCCTCGAGCGTAAATATGTGTATGATGGGATAGAGACTCATTTTCTAAGGACGCAGAACATAAAGTCACATGTTTGTACATTCATATTTAATCTTCCGCGATTTAACGGTTTATGCCTCTCGCTTTATTTTACTTTTCCACCACTTTCATATTCAATATTAACACCTTATACTTTAACGACAATTCGGGTGGGTGTTAATTGGATAAGCATTCTTTTCTTTTATAATTGGATGTGTGAAAAAGCAAGTCCAAAAACGAACGTGATAAAATGAAATTTGAACGCAAAATTAGGTGGAACAATTCACAAAACCTTTGAAACCCTGACTTAGTCGGCGTTTCAAGGCTTTGTGTGAATTTTTTAACATTATTTTGCGTTCATATTTCATATTATACGTTCTTTTTTGCATTAGACACATTATCCAATGTGTGTCGGTTCCTTGTCGCTTTTTCACTTTTGAAAAAGTAGATGATTGCAATGTGCACAAGAGAGAAATAACGGTAAAAATATTTTTCGATATTTCACGTTTTATTGAGACAAACCTTCGAGAAGACAAATTTTCCCGTTTACGCTCTGATCGTTGTTTTAAATTTATCCCTCGATTGCCCCGTTCACGCACCCGTGGAGATCGACGTCGCCTCTCAGCGTATTTTTTCACTTTCGTCGTTTTAACTCTTCGGGGCCGTGGACGCAAATATAACCCGGAATGGATTCGCTCCGCACGGGGTAGGTACTCCGTGTAAACGCTTATCTCGACCCTTCGCCGGCTCTATTCCAAACTTTCATTATGGTTTTGGTCGATGTAGCCACATCTTCTGCGTTTTATACGTCTTTTTGTTTTATTTCGCACATAAATACATATTCACTTATTTTTCTTCGTTTTACACGCCAGAACATCATTTAGTTCCATATTTCATATTTTCACTAATCATAGAGTTGAGTTAGGCTTTTGTATTACGTTCATCCACTTCTTCATCATATTTACACGTTTTGCGTTTTATTGTTTTCCTTTTTATCGCATGAATAGGCCCCGTTTATCACATGCAATGCGTTGGAATTGTCATTGTAAATGAGGGTGGGCAGTTTTCACTTACATTTCGCTCTAACGTAAAAACAAAATTGGTGCCATACCAATTTCATAATGAACGGTAAGAGAGAAAACTGGCTTTTTGTTTTTGCTTAAAATTAGAGAGTTATCTTTTAAAGTAGGTTTAGTGTTTTATTGAACTCCACGAGCGTCTACCCTTGCGTATAGCGCGAATGCATGCGGAGGGTGTGCAACGCGCTGTTGCGCATTGCGTGAAATACGCATGAGCGTAATGAGCGTAAAGACGGTACGCTTTTCGACCCGAAAGAGTTACTAATTATACCATCTCGTGTTTATCATATTCATTTACGAAGTTGTCACTTGCATCTCTGCGTTTCTTCATTTATTTTGCTTTTCACGTTTGTATTGCGGTTTACGTTAATTAGGTCATATGAATTTCACAGTAAGAGCACATTTCAATTGACCCCCAACATATCCACCCTAATGCCTCCGTTATAGCGTCGATTCACACGTTGCGTCTGTTATGCGATTTCACCGGTATTTCGGTTTTAGCGTGTTGCGCGTGTTTTACTACGTTCGCTTAACAACTACACGGAAAATTCAGGGAAGCATATAAAAAAGGCCGTGAAAAACGACGAAAGAAAAATACACTGAAAACGAAAGATTGAACAGCATCGAGAATACGCAGAAACTGCATTATACATCTAATCGTATATAATGGTCGTTTTTCAACATATGTCTCTAGCATCATACCACCCGATATATTGATTTCAGCTTCTCGTCATTGGGCATTCCATCATGTTCACTGCATTTAAAGATGCACGTATTTTGTGAGGTTTCAACACCGTTATTTTTCATTTTATCATCTTATCGGACCTTTCACGGTATGTTTAATTACGTCATCTGCATTTTGATTTGTGCTCGTTTGATTTTTGTTTGTTTCTTCTCTATAAATGCCATGCGTATATGACCGGTAAATTACATAAAAAAGAACGTAGGGAAAGCGGTCGACGTTCACGATCTATCCTATGACTACCATGAAGTACCAGTATCCTTCCGTACGTGTTACCCAAAGTATGTGTGTGTAAATTTATAAACGGAAGGCAACGCAGAAACTAAACCGACTTACTAAATGCTGTATAACTTCAAAACGAGATTAACGTGTGAAAAATGAACGAAGAACAATAATATTGTGTTCTGAACGTCGACTACGTGGAATAATTCCAATTTGCGCCAACTCACTATTTCCAATCACAACCACAAGATTTGCCAAAGGCGAATAGACGTACAGATGTCGGATAATGCTCTGAAACCAGCATAGAAAGTCACACGTTTAGTGTGGGACTAGATAAACGTAAGGAAACTGGTGCAAAAACGTGCCAATAAAGCTTTGTACAGGTAACAGTGTAGATGCGCGTGGCAGTAAACACCGAACACGTAGAAAATATGTGAAGAACGTGACCCGGTGTGACACTTAGATGGGACATACGGATCCTCATGACGACCACAGACCCGTCTGGCTCAGTTTCTTTGTACGCTGAGTGGGCCACGAGATGGTATGTTTGTGGCGACACCAGCTACAAAGTGAAAAGGACGAGAGAAGCGGACACGCGACGCTCACGGCAGGGTGTACGGAAATCTTGTACACACCCTTTCCCCCGACGACACTTGGAGTGTTGCTGTGTAGATTATGTACGCGGCCGACCTTTTAAAAATACGACAGCTGGCTTCTTAGTTTAGAATGCTAGCACGCAGCACACACAGCCGGAGTTTTACCTGTAAACACGACGCGGTACATGCACAGAAGTCACGCCAAGGCTGATAGAACCGGAGAGAGAGAGTCACGAGGAAAGGAAAAAGCCCAATACAGTGACGTCATATTCGTGTCGCGGACAAGAATACGAAAAATTTCATTCAACTAATTCGCGTTTTGATATAACTTTTGAAGGATGTTCCAAAAATATGCGACCGAGTACACGCGAAAACCACATTTCGCGTTTTCTACCTTTTTTCTTTTTCCGTGCTCGTTTAAAATTGTTGTGTATTTGAGATCCGTGAAAGCCGTAATTTTCTACGTAGGAGACTGTTTCCGCATACGCGCTCGTACACGTCGTGCGTTGACACGCCCCTAACGTCGCTCGCACGGTTGTGAAAACGAGGTAGGCAGATAAGCTTTTAGACCTCGCCTGTTGTTCTGTTTCTTGTTACGGCCCTTCCCTTACATTTCTCACGCGTAATTCCGTGTATTGCGCCCGTTTACGCGTCGCGAGGAGTCGCACGTGACTCCTACAGCCGAGAGGCGCGCACCTGGAGAACAAGTACATAGGCTAGCGGGAGAGAGAGAGAGCGTAGAAGAGAGCAGGAAGGATACGGGAATATCTATCAAATAGGTCCGGACGTCGAAGACAGTCGGACGTCCGCGGTACCCGCTGTTTTACGGAACCACATATACAAAATTAGCAAAGTTCACAAAAATATGCGGCGTTCGTCCGTAAGGTTGTGTTTTGCGTGCGACGTCACATATGATGAGAAGCATAGGTAAAAAGTTGATATCAAAAGCGTTTGGTTTTTGGGATATGGACACGTTGTGTGCACAAGCAGAAATCCTGCATGAAAAGGAAAGCGAGGAAAAAACCAATCCACAAAGAGCAGATGTCTCAGGTTTTAAATACGTAGAAGGAGCGGATAACGGTGAGCGAACTACAACAAAGAGTCACTATTTGTGAGGTGCCAATCGCTGTCCTCCCTACCCACAGCCGTCTGTTTTGTTCGAAATCGAACCTCGTGTTTCTCACGACACACCAGCTCTGGCTGCGCCAGATTCGTCTCTCAATTTCCTCGCTCACCCTCTGCCATGCTGAGATGACAATCGTTTCTGCTAGTGATCCTGCAGAGGATGCATGAGGGTATGTTTTTGCAGTACAAGAATAGTGCCGAAAAATAATGAACGATGAAACATAAGCGTCAGTGAACAGGAGAAGAAGCGGACACGAGCGCTCACGGCGGGGTGGACGGAAATCTGTACACACCCTTTTCCCCCGCGACACTAGGCAACAAGAAGATGCAGCGACTATCAGTCCATTTCCTTTACTCCGCACACGGGAAAAGATCTTGGAGCGGTTGCTGAGTAGATTATGTAAGCTGCCTCCTTTTAAAAATACGACAGACAGACGGGAGCCGGAAGCTGGCTAGCTGCCGGAGTTTTAACGGTCAAACACGATCGAACACGCACGACGGTCCATGCACAGAAGTCACGACAGGGCTGATAGAACTGGAGAAAATCCAATAAAGTGACGTCATATTCGTGCGCGGACAAAACTATT